TGTAAAGAAAGAAACGATGAATCACAAAACCAAATTAAAAGGAAGGAGAAATAGAAACTAAAATCAATTTCTGTGATGTTTGATCCTCCGATACTGTTAGGATGGAAAAAAAAAACTATCTGAACCATTTTAATGAAAGATCATGCTCAATTGCTGAGACGTTTTACTATCTAGTATTATAAAAAGAGAACAGCGGCAATCAGCAATGCAAACCATCTGACCTTTGATCTTGGAACTTTGGCAGCTTTGTTAAAGTTGAGATTCAGTGTTTTGCGAGCAACTGCAATGAGGCGAAATCCATGTTGCGCATATTCGTTGACAACAGCCTAAGATTCAAAAAACGTCGTTTCAATATGTAATTACACGCAATCAGTACTTACGGAGTAGTCATGTGGAATGCTTTTCGGATCACATAATGATTGCACCATTTCAGGTGATCCTTTGCAATATAAGGTCATAGTGCGGTCACTACTGGATGGGTTGAAGACAATCACGGACATTCTTTGCAGCGAAGAACTAAACTTTTTTTCTACGGAAGAGCTGAAGATAGGGGGAAAAGGATGTTTTTTAGTTATGACGTATACATTCATGAAAACCGTCAGAGTAAAATTTTAAAATTAAGACTCTCGAGATTTGCCTCACCTGAATGTAAACTGGCGAATGATGGAATATTCCTCATCTCCCTTGTTCATATCTATAGGTGGCTTTATGACAGTGGGCTGGAACACACACATTTCATTTACTGTGATCAGTTTAATCACACACAAATTAACTTTCGAAATTTTCAATCAATAACAAATAATGGAACGTATTCATTTCTGATCATTGAAAAAAAGGATGAAACTTAATAATCGTGGATAGTTTTGTATGAACAACTACAGCAAAACAAAATTTTCGAGTTTTCTGAAAAAATATATAACTTTTGATACTGTTTAGGAAAACTGTTTACCTGAATCATGTCATACATTTCAGTTTCGTCATGATCAGACTCGTCAGCACCGGCTTCTTCAAGGACCCAACCAGTCTGTTGAAAGAGTATCAGATCTAACGGGTCTCCATGCAGAACACCGTTAATTCTTAAAACATATTCTTTAAAAATTATTATAATAAGCTACTGAAAATCTTCAGTAACACTAAATACGCAGAACAGCAAATCACACCTTGTAAGAGAATGACAGGTTGCAATGGCAGTAACAAGTTCTCCTCTTTGAGGCAATTCATCACGGTTCATGCGGCTGCTCTCAGTGGTGAAGTTAGGTACATTTGACGCAGTAGCTTCTGTGACTCCTCTAAGGACATGAAAATCTAGTCCATCTTCAGTCAAAGTGCCGGTTTTGTCGAAACAAACCTAAAAAACAATTTTAACTCAGCTTTTTGCAAACTTTATCATATTAACAAATAAAAATGGTTCACAAAGCTATACTTGCTATTGTAACATCACTTACAACATTAATTGCACCACAAGTGTTGATTGTGGACGGCGAGATGCAGTAGATTTCCTTGTTCTTTAG